TTTCTTCAAGCTAATTTTTTGAAGTAATTCATTCTTAGAAAACTTTTTCTCAAAAAATCCACCACGCAATCCACCCGCCGCCGTCGTGAGCAGGTATATAGGCAGCCCGTGGCCATGTAACATCCCAAAGTTATGAAATATGTAATGAAGAATGCTATTTTGCATCATGTTTAAATTCAAATTGAAAGGTGAACTCAAAACCTCAATGAACTTTGGAAACATTTATAGTGTAACTTAAATGTCCTTAAAAAATTCAAAAACTTATGTGGGAGTTTTGTGTATATGCTCGGAAGGACCCCATAATATTTCATGAATTTTGGATGACTTAAACCTTGCCAACTATATTTCTTCAAGCTAATTTTTTGAAGTAATTCATTCTTAGAAAACTTTTTCTCAAAAAATCCACTATTATATGCTTATTCTTGAATATCCAAAAAACGCAATTTATGTGTACATTGTGTGCAAACTTTGTCATTACTTGTTTTTTTATAAAGTTTTTCTATAAGGGTAATACTAATGTCATTGGTTCATTTTTTAAAGAAAAACTTCACTTTATGTTTCTCTCTATTTTTATTTTTGTTCATTTATTCATTAAGGTGATACCATCACACATATAAGATTTAGTATAATTGTGCAAACAATGCAGCGCGTATCCATCTAATGTCATTAGCCAATGTGGACTATATTCTCTGGGTTTGGGCTCCTGTGGGGTTTAACATAGTTGTATTAGACTAGATCAACGTGAACTTTGGAATTTCAGGCTTCGGCTCCAATGCGTTTTTTCGTCTTTTTGGTCCTTCAGCTCAAAATCGATATAACTATTTTCTATTGTGAGTCATTTGTTTTAATCAAAGAGTAAACCACTTGTTGGGCACAGCAAAAATAGAGTGACAGACCCATATTAGAATTTCAGGTGACTGACTGTTGACGGTTTGTTGGCCCTAAAAATATATTTGCTTTTTTGTAAAGGGTCTGTGTGCCCTAAGTATTGCACATCTAAATAACTCAATCAAACATAAAAGAGAAATACCCGCACAAATCTTCGTGTAAAATCAATAGCATAAGACTTAGATATGCAATACTTAGGGTATCTCCAACATTGACCCGCAAATTTGCTCTGGTATCCGTCCTCAGACTGAGGGGACCAGTCCGCAGACACTGATGCAGGAGCTGGCCATCCAACATTGCCGGCATATATTTCAACCATAAATTCAAGAAACAGGACGTATTCAATATAACCGGATGAGATTCATTATATTTCAGGCATACTTCAACTACAAGCGGAGCTCGTCCGACTCTGGAGGTATAATTTCGCCTCCATGGCCTCCGGCTCCCCCATATCTTCCCTATGTCCGGCTGCACCGCTCATTGGAGTGGCCATGCTTCAGCCGGAGGGGAAGAGTGGCTCCTCTGCTTTCGTGAAGCCGAGGCGGGGGTCGACGACGGTCTGTGTTGAACCGGGCAAGACACTGGTTGTGTGTGTTGGTGACGCAGTGGCGGTGGCGATCGTGGGACCCAAGCGGCGGCGGCCTCCCATGGTCTACTTTTCCTCAGTGTTACCAGCGGGCACAGACGTGTTGGCCGCCTCCACTGGCAAGACGCGCTTACGCCAATGTTTGTGGCGGATGGCACGGACGTAGGCGCGGGAGGAGCGGGATGTAGGCGCGGGAGGAGCATGATGACACGGCGGCGTCCACGGTGCCCGTGCCACCGTGCTCCACGCCGACATTGGCTACTCCTCTGCGAGCTGGGTTGGAGCCCCGAGTTGCTGCAGCAGGGGCTAGCATGGAGTTGCGGCTTGCTCCTCCACTTTCCCGCCTATAGCCTCGCCCATGGTATTGACGGCTTGGGGTGGTGAGGGGCTAGAGCAGCGAGTTGTCTAGCTTGTATCAAGCGGGCTTAGTGGGCCACCTAGTTGGCTTTTATATCGGAGAACCCTTCTTCCTGCTCGTCGAATGCCATGGAGAGTGTGTAGACTATGGTGCAAGTGTTGGGAACGTAGTAATTTCAAAAAAATTCTTACGCACACGCAAGATCATGGTGATGCATAGCAACGAGAGGGGAGAGTGTCGTCCACGTACCCTCATAGACCGAAAGCGGAAGCGTTAGAACAACACGGTTGATGTAGTCGTACGTCTTCACGGCCCGACCAATCAAGCACCAAAACTACAACACCTCCAAGTTCTAGCACACGTTTAGCTCGATGACGTCCCTCGAACTCTGATCCAGCCGAGTGTCGAGGAAGAGTTTCGTCAGCACGACGGCGTGGTGACGATCTCGATGTTCTACTGTCGCAGGGCTTCGCCTAAGCACCACTACAATATTATCAAGGAGA